TAAGGATCGGCTTATAAATGGATATTCCGGCTCTTTATTAACACTAAATTATTTTTAACCCATGGATAAGGATAAAAGTTGAGGATTTATTGTGTATTGTGCTTATTACCCTAGACGTAGAGTTTTCTCTTTGTGTTTTATTATTATTGTTATTAGATTTTTGTGTTGATTTATTGGGCTTGTGGAACGACGCCTGATGTTAGTTATTGCTTAACAATTGGTGGTTTGTTTGTGTCTGTTATGTTTATTATTCATCTTTTATTGTCTTTATGTGTTTATTATTCATCTTTATTGTCTTTATGTGTTTATTATTATTATTATTATTTTTTTTTGATGTTCAGTTTTTAATGTTTGTAATGCATCTCTGTTGTATCTTTGCATGTTTATTTTCTATGTTTATTATATTTATTTGGTTTTGATGTTCAACTTCCAATGTTTGTCGATACATTTTTTTATTTATTATTGTATCTTCACACGCTTATTTTACATATTATTGACAAGTATTATTTTTAAAAAATTGTTGAGTTTCTGTGATCGATGTTCGGAAGACGCGCTTGATCTATTTTTATGGAAACCGGATATTGAGCCGGATTCTGACGGATATTTTAGCGGCGTCTCGTGTGTCCGATTTGTTTATATCCGAAGCCAGAGCCACTGTGGCTGTTCCGTAAGCGGGGTGGATGTGAGTGGAAGTGGGGATTGATGGGCAGGTGGAGCGATGGAGTTCATTAAGTGGAATCGGGGAGTGCTGGTTGTGGAGTGATGTGCAGGTGGAGCGATGTTCATTAAGTGGAATTTCGGAGGTCTGTCTGTGTTGCTATGTGCAGGTGGAACTACTTAAGTGGAATTTTGGAGTGGATGATTGGGTTTGTGTTTAGGTGGAACGGTGGATTTTTTTCTTTGAGTGGAATTTCTGAGTACTGATTGTGTGTTTCCGCGCCTCGTGTGGAGAGAGGAAGTGGTGGAAGATATCGAAAGTGGAATTGATGATTTTTTTATCAAGTGGAACGTATTATAAGAACGATCTTTAAAAGTGTGGGAAACGATTTTTTGGGGGAAGATTTTTTTTAAAGTTAAATAAAAGATACAGAAGATAAACGAAGGTATATGTCTCCTAAAATCTTCTTCATCTTCTTCTTCTTCTCCTTCTTCTTCTTCTTCTCCTTCTTCTTCTTCTTCTTCTTCTTTTGCCGTTGCTTTGCCCCATTCTTATATAGGGTCACTATATAGTTTGGTTCTGGCAGGTATTTTTTTAAATGTTTTTTTTTTATGTTTATGTTTTTATGTTTTGTCAGTTCAAACCTTCATCTATAACATAAACATCGATATTTTTCACGTCAATGTACTCTATCTCATGATTTTAGTGAAGATATCGATGATTGGTTTACAGATTAAAACAACAAAATCTTTAATAAACGAAATACTACATAGGCCTACCCTCGAATCTGAATGAGATGTTGATTGTGGCGAGAGATGAAGAGAGTGCATGACTAGGTTTAACAATGACTCTCATGACGCTGGCTGTCTGGTGTGCATGGCGATTGTTGGCAGAAACACTTGCATGTTCCGTCTGGTCTGTGTTACGTGTGAATAAAGGGAGGAGGAGGAGGAGGTGGAGGAAAGAAGAGGGAGGGAGGGGAGGAGGAGGAGGAGAGGGGGAGAGGAGGAGGAGGAGGAGGAGGAGGAGGAGGAGGAGGAGGAGGAGGAGGAGGAGGAGGAGGAGGAGGAGGAGGGAGGAGGAGGAGGAGGAGAGGAGGAGGAGGAGAGGAGGAGGAGGAGGGGAGGAGGAGGAGGAGAGGAGGAGGAGGAGGGGAGGAGGAGGAGGAGAGGAGGAGGAGGAGGAGGAGAGGAGGAGGAGGAGGAGGGGAGGAGGAGGAGGAGGAGGAGGAGAGGAGGAGGAGGAGGAGAGGAGGAGGAGGAGGAGAGGAGGAGGAGGAGAGGAGGAGGAGGAGAGGAGGAGGAGGAGGGGAGGAGGAGGAGGAGGAGGAGGAGGAGAGGAGGAGGAGGAGAGGAGGAGGAGGAGAGGAGGAGGAGGAGAGGAGGAGGAGGAGAGGAGGAGGAGGAGAGGAGGAGGAGGAGGGAGGAGGAGGAGGAGGAGGGGAGGAGGAGGAGGAGGAGGGGAGGAGGAGGAGGAGGGGAGGAGGAGGAGGAGGAGAGGAGGAGGAGGAGGAGGAGGAGAGGAGGAGGAGGAGAGGAGGAGGAGGAGAGGAGGAGGAGGAGGAGGAGGAGGAGGAGAGGAGGAGGAGGAGGAGAGGAGGAGGAGGAGAGGAGGAGGAGGAGAGGAGGAGGAGGAGAGGAGGAGGAGGAGAGGAGGAGGAGGAGGGGAGGAGGAGGAGGAGGAGGAGAGGAGGAGGAGGAGGAGAGGAGGAGGAGGAGGAGAGGAGGAGGAGGAGGAGGAGGAGAGGAGGAGGAGGAGAGGAGGAGGAGGAGAGGAGGAGGAGGAGAGGAGGAGGAGGAGAGGAGGAGGAGGAGAGGAGGAGGAGGAGAGGAGGAGGAGGAGAGGAGGAGGAGGAGAGGAGGAGGAGGAGAGGAGGAGGAGGAGAGGAGGAGGAGGAGAGGAGGAGGAGGAGGAGGAGGAGAGGAGGAGGAGGAGGAGAGGAGGAGGAGGAGAGGAGGAGGAGGAGGAGGAGAGGAGGAGGAGGAGGAGGAGAGGAGGAGGAGGAGAGGAGGAGGAGGAGAGGAGGAGGAGGAGGAGGAGAGGAGGAGGAGGAGGAGAGGAGGAGGAGGAGGAGAGGAGGAGGAGGAGAGGAGGAGGAGGAGGAGGAGAGGAGGAGGAGGAGGAGGAGAGGAGGAGGAGGAGGAGAGGAGGAGGAGGAGGAGGAGGAGGGGAGGAGGAGGAGGAGAGGAGGAGGAGGAGGAGGGGAGGAGGAGGAGGAGAGGAGGAGGAGGAGGAGGAGAGGAGGAGGAGGAGAGGAGGAGGAGGAGGAGAGGAGGAGGAGGAGGAGAGGAGGAGGAGGAGGAGGGAGGAGGAGGAGGAGAGGAGGAGGAGGAGGAGGGGAGGAGGAGGAGGGGAAAGAAGAGAGGGGGGGAAGGTGAAGGCAGGTGGGAGGGAGGGAGGTAGAGGGAGAGGAAGGAATGGAGAGAACTTTCTCCTCTCCCCTTCCTCCTCTCCCATCCCCCTCTCCCCTTCTCCCTCTTCCCTTTCCTCTCTCCTCTCCTCTTCCTCCTCTCCCATCCCTCTCTCACTTACACTCCTATCCCCTCCCCCTCTCCTCTCCCCCTTTCCCCTGTCCCCCTTTCCCCTGTCCCCCTTTCCCCTCTTCCCCCTCCTCCCCCCTTCTCCTCTCCCCTCTCCCCTTCCCCATAAGCGGCCTCTCCTCATTGGCTGTGAGTGTGAGTGTAAATGTAAGTGTATATGTACGTGTAAGTGTGTGTGTAAATGTGTGTTAGTGTCCTGTAAGTGTGTAAATGTGTGTTAGTGTCTTGTAAGTGTGTATATTTATATGTAAGTGTTAGTGCGTAGAATATATGTGTAACATAAGTGTGCATATTATTATGTAAGTGTAAATGTACATGTGTGTGTATGTGTGTGAATGCACATGTGAGTGTGTATTAAATATAAGTGTAGCTATGTAAGTATAAGAAAGGCGATGGTTACGTGTATAAGTGTGCGTTATAGGGAAGGAATATTTATGTTTGAGTACGTTCATGCTTGTCAGGGAGGTCTGTGTGTGTTTGTGTACGTATGCGGGGGTGAGCTGCTGTGTGTGTTTGTGTACGTATGCGGGGGTGAGCTGCTGTGTGTGTTTGTGTACGTATGCGGGGGTGAGCTGTGTGTGTTTGTGTACGTATGCTGTGTATGTTTTTTTTTAGAGGGTAATGTATGAGAGAGAGGCAGGGAAGGGAGGGAAGGGAAGGAGAGGGAGAGAAGTGAGGGGAAAGGAGGAGGGGAAAGAAGAGAGGGGGGGAAGGTGAAGGCAGGTGGGAGGGAGGGAGGTAGAGGGAGAGGAAGGAATGGAGAGAAGGAAAGGAAATGAGAGAGAGAAAAAAAGAAAAGAGAGGGATAAAAATAAAGAGCGAAAGAAAGAGAGAGAAATTGAGAGATAGAGAGAAAGAAAGAAAGAAAGAAAAAAAGAAAGAAAGAAAGAAAGAGAAAGAGAGGACGCTAACGTAATTTCGCTAACTAATTCTGATGCTATTGCAACAATTTTCGTCAAGAAAGAAATATCAGTGCTAAAAGGAAATATGCGAATCAACAGTGATATAATAACATGGGTGACAACTGGCCTTGGCGAATTAAAAAAGGATGATGAAAATTGTTGCAATAGCATTAGAATTAGTTTAAATGCAATGCGACTATCTCTCTCTCTCTCTCTCTCTCTCTCTCTCTCTCTCTCTCTCTCTCTCTCTCTCTCTCTCTCTCTCTCTCTCTCTCTCTCTCTCTCTCTTTCTTTCTTTCTTTCTCTTTCTTTCTCTTTCTCTCTCTTTCTCTCTCTCTCTCTCTCTCTCTCTCTCTCTCTCTCTCTCTCTCTCTCTCTCTCTCTCTCTCTCTCTCTCTCTCTCTCTCTCTCTCTCTATCTCCCTCCCTCCCTCCCTCCCTCCCTCCCTCTCTCCCTCCCTCGTCCTTGAATATTCGCAAAAACCTAACCTATAAATTATCTTCCTCTTTCTATTCTCACCCTTACATCTCCTTGCCTCGATCCTCCTCCCCCTTTTTTACCCCTTTTTCACACCTGTATTTTTTTTCTCTCTCTCTTCTTTCTCTTCGTCTTCCTCCTCCTCTCCGTGATCCTTGACCGCGGCCTCTTCATTAGAATTCGAGTATTATTTGTGAGGTTTTCTCTCTCTCGCTGTCTGTCTTTCTATGACTCTCTCTCTCTCTCTCTCTCTCTCTCTCTCTCTCTCTCTCTCTCTCTCTCTCTCTCTCTCTCTCTCTCTCTCTCTCTCTCTCTCTCTGTCTTT